GCAACCATTATAACATTTATTGAAAACAGTTATGGAACTAGAATAACACAATTTTATAAAAGTTGTTTTATTATCTTAGATGAAGTTTTTTTTTATTTTATCTAACACTAAAAGTTTGCTTTTGTTGCTAAATTTCATCCACTGAGAACAATTTGTTTTTTAATGATCCTTGATTCAACAACTAGGCAAGCATTAAATCTTTTTTAGCAAATAAAATGTTTGAGTAACTACATCAGTCATGTTGCATTTGATTCTTTCAGTTCTGATATATACTCGTACACCTAATACCAGACAGGCAGAAATTGTAATCTTTATATTTTACTGCGCAATTTTTTTGTATAATATATGGTAGCAACATTTTCAAGCACATCAAGTATATTAGTTATTAATGAATTTTAAGAGACAATGTAAACATTTTCATTATTTGTTTTTCTTTATTCTGGCCTCTATTGTAATAAAATAATCCAAGTGAACCATCTTATACCATTATATAAACATTAAAGTAGTAAATTAACACATTTAATCATTGCAAAAATGATTTTTTGTAATACACAAAAAATGGCTTCCATGTTATGAAATACTTTTTGCTTTATAAGAGATTTTAATAAAATATTTAATTTATGTGTTTATTTTAGTTAAACATTATAAAGAAAGATACTTCTTAGTACTAAGAGCAATAATAAAGCAACTATAAAATAAAATACACGGACAGTCAAAAATGATAAAATATATTTGCTAGTTGGGATGTGCACCCACAGAAAGCTAGGGGGCCGAGGCCTCTCTCCCTAGGAATCAGTTTGGCCCTTAAAATTTGCATATTTAGCATGATTTTGTGTATAATTTAGAGATTTATAGGTTTTGACCCCCTCGAGAAAATTTACTACCCCCGGCTATTAAAAAAGTTTTTGAGTCAGGTGCACTTTGGAAAGTTATCTCTCCCCTATAATCGCCCCCCACTGAGAAAATTCCTACAAGCGCATTATATGTCTACGCACCTGATATACATATATCACTCATCATAGATTTAACCGTGCGTTCGCCCTTAAAACAAAAAGCGAAATATTTTCAGCACTCGTCTCTGGAAATACCTGTGCTCTGAACGAAAGTAGTCTGTGGTGGGTGCCATGGTGCCGTGGCTGGCGAGTGGCGAGGTTAGTCATAGCAACGTTGGACGCTGGTCGATACTGTCGGTAGAGCAGGTGGAGAATATGGACCAATTGTATGGGCCTGTTTGTCTAACTTGGTCCATTTATTATTTTTCTTGTTATTTATGTTCGTGCATAATATAATCCGCTATGAACTGGTGACTGTGTTTCGTGGGAAGTGTCGAGTCAACCTACCTGAGACTATTTTTGTCATAGGAATCCCAAAAATATTATGGGACTTGGTAGGACAAATTTCCATTTTTACCAGCCGTTGATACAAGTGAATGAAACCTAATTTGGGGCACTGAACTACGATATAATCGTCAAAAAAAATGTTAAACTCGTAGGGTTGAAATGTGGTTAGAAAATGGGCTATTTGAAAACTCTCGTGGGTCCTAGCGTTAAATTGGACTTGGAATCTACGAATTCGACTTAATATAGAAAAAGACTTTTTTAAGGGCTTACCCATACGCAAAGACTAATGAAAATTGTCAAAAACGAGATTCAAAAAATATAGGATGTGTTTTTTGTTAGTTCTTTTACATATGGATGAAGCTTGAAAATCCTAGTTTTTTGTGGCGCTGAATTCGAATATATTCGTCAAAAAATTCTGAAGTATAATGGGGTCAAGCTAAAAGGTAGAAGATGGATTGTTTGGGCCTCGCAGTAGGTCCTAGCATCTAGTTTGACTTAGGTAACAAGTTTTTGTAGGGGTATATACGTAGGAATTCTTTAAAATTTTCCATTTTCGTCAGCATTTTCCGTTTTTATCCAATGCGCACACGCGACTCGAGACTAGGGCCACGGCTTGATAAGGGATAAGGGCCCCTCAAAGCCCTACAATCAAACGAATTTAAAAAAAAAGATGTCAGAGCTTAAGATGTCTTAGACGCAAGCTGTTGTTACAAGTGAATCAAACACCTAGGCAGTTTATGCTGAATTCATTTCGTAGGGTTGAACTCTAGGTAGAAAATGGAATGTCGAGATAGTCTGTAGAGTACATCTCCGAAAATATGTGACAAAGAAAATTGGTTGGCTAGTAGAGTAGCAAGATCGCATCTGGATGCTTGGGTGTATCTATTGGTCTGCATGTGTATAAAATCAGTGATATTTGCTATGCGAGAAAATTATTTTTGAAGATGCTGTCCATGAAGTACAGATAACCAGACGAGTTATTGTGTTGTCTTTTCTGAAGAGAGGTTTCGTTCAAAGTTATAAATTGAGATTTTCCCCGTTATTTTGCGTTTTCAAAAACTTTGAGGAGCATTAAGGGAAATCACCACCGCGCCCGCGTTGTGTGTAATTAGGTCACATCAAACAAAAAGTAGGACTGACGCATTACACATAAAACATTTTTGCAGTGCCTCACATCTAGGCGCTGATTTGTATTTTCTACTTGACATCGCAAAATGAATTTCTATAAAATTTAAAAAATAATGTAGAATGTCATAACTTATTGACGTTCCATAAAAATTTCGGTCAGTGACGTATTTTTCCATCTGTTGGTTGAAATATACTTCACCAACAAGGGATTTTCAATTCTTATCTCTCTCATTGTTTAAATCCAGCAAATTTGCATATGTAATTTCCCAGATGAATAAGAAAAAGTAAAAGCACAACTAATTTATAGCTTTGCATCCACCTCAAGTAAGAGTATTTGAGACAAGAAACCAACGGAATTATGAGCAACACATATTATTAGCACTCAAATCGTCACTATGCACGTGTGCACTGCCGTTTTCTTCCAGTTATAATACATAGCTTGCCGCTTAGAGCTCCAATAACGCCATCTCCGAAGCAGATGTTACATCACGACACAGCCAAACATTGATAGCTGAAGCGTCATGGCGTTTAGGCAACACGTACAGCTACAGAACGAGTGCACATCAAGTGACATTTTATAGAAAAACCAACAGAATGTTATTTGGTTGGTTTTTGGGCAGTTAGGCCGTCGTAAAATATTTTTACTTGACGTTTCGTCAACACGAGTGGTTGGCATCTTCAGAAGATGTTCACAGTTTGGAGTCCTGGGAGCTACTGATATCTCCGCGGTCTCAGCGCTGAGCATTTCAACATATATGCCCTTTCCAGACTCACGCGCGATTCGCGCGCCAAGCCGCGAACTACCCGCGATCCATGAGTGTGGATCCCATTCGCGTAGGTATTCTTCGCGGCTTCACGTCGGGTTCGCGCGTTGTTCCCGTTTGTTGTCGGTTTTTTGTTCCGCGACAAAGGGTTCGCATGGCGCGAACATGACTAGGCTCCACATTTGCTGGTGGTTCAGTTGCCTCATAGCGAGTGTCGGGAGTGGTTGTGTTTTTTCCACTTATTTTCAATTGCTCTAGTTTTACTTATATATGCGTAATTATAAAATGCCAAAGCGCAAAGTAGCCCTGCAGCAGCAGTAGCAATTTCACCATCCATACTCGTCAAGACCGCGAACTATACTGTGAAAGAAATTTCGGGATTCGCACCGCGATCCGAGCCGCGATTTCACGCCGTGATTCGCGCGTGAGTCTGGAGAGGGTATTACAATGTCTTAAAAACCAACATACGAGGGCGGTTCAATAAGTACCCGTGTTAGAAATTCTTTTTATTTTTCAACATAATCCCCTTTTAGAAAGATACACTTTTCTCCACGTTCCTGCCATTTTTTTAACCACCCCAAAAATAGGATTGGTCGAACTGTCCAAAATACGCCTGTCTCGGCGATGACTTCCTCGTTTGAGCGAAATGTTTTCCCGCGAGCCGTTTCTTCATGTCAGGGAACAAGAAAAAGTCGCAGGGGGCCAGATCGGGTGGATATGGGGGGTGCGGCAGCACTTCAATTTTTTGTCGAAGTGGTCCAAAAGCTCACTATAGTAGTCTCTAGTAATATTCCTTCCCTTTTCTGAAAAATACACGCGGTTCGCATCCCAAAAAATCGTCGCCATGACCTTTTCGGCCGATGGGACCGTCTTCGCCTTCTTTGGAACAGATTCACCTGAAGAAATCCATTGTTTTGATTGTTGCTTAGTTTCCGGTGTGTAATGATGAATTCAGGTTTCATCGACGGTGACAACTCGAAGGATTTGGCTTAAATTGCTCCAAACAGTGCTTCGAAGACAACCGCATCCGCTTGTTGTCCACCGTGAGCAATCGCGGCACCCATCGGGCCGACATTTTTTTCATAGCCAACTTATCATGTAAAATATTGATTGCCGTTCCGGTCGGCACACCTACGACATCTGCTACTTCGCACACTTTCGTTCGTCGATTAGCGAGAATCATGTCGTGGACTTGTTGAATGATTTCCTCGGTAACCGGGCGTCCTGGTCGATCCTTATCAAAAACGGATGTTCGCCCACGCTTAAATTTGTTTTACCAATATCTAACTGTGGTCATCGATGGCGAAGTGTCTCCATAAACAGCATCGAACTTTGCTTTTATCTCCTCGCATTTTTTCCCATCCAAAAACAAAAAGCGAATTACCGAACGATACTGCTCTTTTTCCATCTTAGCGAAAATCACGAAACACGTGTTACTCGAATGGCTGCCAAATCCAAAAATCCAAACTAACCTAAAACCTATCAATCAGTCTGATATTGGTTGTACCGACCTTTGATAGATGGCAGCACACGATGATAACATTAACTTCCCTCAGGAACGCCCTCTGTCGTCAAACACGGGTACTTACTGAACCGCCCTCGTAATGTCACTTTTTAAGACAAATAATACCCCTGTGGGACTCCCCGAGTGTCCGATCGTCAAATTGCCGTCATATTTGGAATAAAAAGTTTCAGATACGCAGGTTGTGTCTCACAGAAATGGGAAACAATAAATTACACTATTATTTGATGTGTTACAGATTTATTTTGTTGATAAAGTTTCATTACATTGATTTGTATAATGTATACGACTGTTGTAAAGATAAACTGTTTTTGGTCAGGTACAAATAGGAACAGTGAGCCTGTGATCAGGAAATTTTGTGAGAATCACGTATATTCAAGGAACATGAAAATACGATACGATATCCTTATTATTATTTACAGAAGGTTAAAAATATTAGAAATCTGAGTCGTGAATCATCGTATATGTTTGTATAAAAATGCATGTCCGGAAATGGATTTATGTATATTACGGATTATCTGCTATTATTACGCATACAAAAATGAACTGACGATATGCGGTACTTGCTCTTGTAGAAATATCTAACAAACAGGAATCATTTATTTCCCCAGTTCGAGAAACTATGTCTGTTCATCGTGCTGAGATCGTCTTCCTTTCTGGTCTTGTTGAGTACTCTCTTGAACATTTCTGGTAGCCCAGTGTTGTTCAGCAATGCATTGATGCAACTAGAGCTCGAAGATTGAGCTGCGGCCGGCTTGAAGGCTTCTTTGGTCTGTCTTATCCATTCTTGGTAGTTGGTTATGTAGGACTGAGACCTCTCACGACCTTGCTGATTTTGACTGAAACAGAACAAATCAATTGAGCTTAGTTTAAACTAAATATTTAGGAGTTTTTTTGTACTCTTTTGCTTAGAATAACCATTCTTTAACGTATTCTACCTGGTAGAGTCAACAATGGAATAAGTGAAAACATTTGAAAACATAAAATTGAACAGATTGCATTGCAAAGTAAAGGCTTAACTGTTGACGAAACTGCTACAAAACTAGAAGCAATTCGTCTTTATATCGAAGAAAAACGGGGTCATGTTGCGGAAGAGGCAATACAATAAAATATTGCTACAAAAAATCAGAAGACTACGATATTCCAACAGAAAGACGACATCGTCGTAAAAAACGGGTGGTTGGTGAGATGGCCAATGTTGACTCAGACTGAAAGAAGAACTTCAAAAAGATATCTAGGAAAGTCTTAATCGACTTAAAGTTGAACTCCTGACAAGATCGACGTCTCTTCAAGACCTAGCTTCATTGTTCGAGATCGTACAAAGAAATACTTTTTGCCGAATACCGAAGAACTAAAATTAGCTACATCCAAATTTAGGTCTCAGAAACAGAATTACTTTTGGAGATAGCAAGACTGCGAAGACACTTAAAAGGAAAGGAAAGGAGTTTCAGTAAACTAAAATTAAGAGGAGTTTCAGTAAACTAAAATTAAGAAAAAACTATTTGCGGGCAACAATGACCCAATCGCGGCTTAGCAATCTTGGCATATTAGCCATCGAACTGCTATCAGAATGTACGAGTTCTTAACAGTAAAGTAACTATCTTCAATTGTTTCTGAGAGTGAGTTTGACCTAATCGCGTTGAGTGAAACCTGGTTGAGTGTTAGTGTTTTGAGCTCATAACTATTCGCCAATATTTACACAGTTCATAGGAATTCTTAGGAAAGAAACTGGAGGTGGTGTTCTCCTTGCTGCCAAAGACTTCATTGATACTATGGTCGTTGAGACGAGTAATTTTGACTTACAGTTCCCTTCTATTGATCTCTTAATAGTGAAGTGTAATGTAGGCTTTAAGTCATTTTTTGTAGTTGTTTTGTATATACCTGATGGAATAAGCGTTGTGGAGTATGCATGTTTCGTTGATGCTCTCGAACAGTTGGACTTCTTGAATGACGGTAATTCTGTATTCTTTGGAGACTTCAATGCTCCTCGCTTTATTGAGAAGAGCATGCTTGATCCAAAGACAAAAGTTATATGCAATTATTTGGATCTGCTCAATTGCCAGCAACTGAATACCGTGAATAACCACTTAAGCAGGTTATTAGAGTAGTAATTACACGTTTTACTTGTGAGGTCACTCATGATGTTATGCCTTTGGTTTCGGAAGACAAACATCACCCTGCTTTGAATATCTGTATACTTGATCTAGTTGCCAAAGAAGCTAAAATCGAATTCAATTCAAGTGAACGTGTTTACAACTTCAGAAAAGCTGATTTTCCTTCTCTTTACAGAGCACTGTATGAAACTGACTGGAGCGTATTATTTGTTTCTGAAGATGTTAGTGCTGCCCTTGATAAAATATACGAGATAATACACCAACCTATAGAAGCTATAGTCATAATTACCCCCTTGGTTTGATGCGAAAATTATCCGCAATATTAAGCAAAAGGTGAAGTACAGAAACAGATTCAGGAGGTTTGGTCGGGGAGCTGATGAATGCGAATTTCAGCGGCTACGAAAATTGATTAAGATCCAGATCAAATGTGCATACGACAACTACCTTGAAGATATTCAAAATTCATTATCGCATGATCCTAGGGGGTTCTGGTCATATGTGAATTCAAAAAAGAAGACTTCTAGGATCCCTGGAAAGATGTTTTACCTTAACGAATCATTTGATAATCTGCAAGACATTGTGAATGCCTTTAGTGTATTTTTCGAGAGTGTCTACATAGAGTCTCAAGCAGCCAATTTGGGTAATGTGGACGATAGTTTCAACAATGTTGCTCATGTACATATTGATGAAATTTATGATAATGAAGTAATGATTGCTGTTAAGAAACTTAAGGACAAAATTACTTCAGCCCCGATAATATTCCATCCTTTTTGATCAATATTGTGCCGGAGCATTCGTGTTTTTTTTAACAAAATTCTTTAATTTGTGTTCGGTTGAAGACGTTTCCGAAACTTTGGAAAGTCGCCAAAGTGTTCCCTGTCCTAAAAACTGGAGACAGGTCCAACATTGAAAATTGTCGTCCGATCTCATTTTGTGCATGTTCTCGAAGATAATACTTTTCAATTGTATTTATAGTGCCGCGCATAATCAGCTCTCACAACATCAACATGGATTTATTAAAAACCGTTCAACTACAAATCTACCCAACTAGCAAAGTAGTGGTATAAGCTTTTGGTAAAAGAACCGTTCAGCCATAAAAGCTCTCTATTGTTGTTGCCTGAACACCAAAATGCTGGCTTAATGTTGTGTGGAATGCAAATTTGCTTTCTGCAACATATTTGCTCTAAAATGAGGTGTTTAACATATTCTTATAGCCTTGTTATGCAACACCTTATAGGGCAAATGTTTAACTGTTGCATAAACGTTTATAAAACTATTTTATACGGCATATTTGCAAGTTAGTCAAAATGGTTGTGTTGTGGCATCCATGGTAACGTTTATAAAACAAACCCGAGCCTTGTTGTTTTGCTGTGCAATTTACTACCTTAGCCAACAAATTGCTCCCAACGGAAGTACTTATACAACTGTTGTTTAGTATCTGTTAAAGGCTGTACATATGCTAAATATGTTGGTAAAGAACTTCACCATAACCTAACTTTCTGCTGTTATATTTTTGTTAAAATGTCATAACCAATGTTTTAAGACAAACAACGCATGCATATTGGTTCAAAAGGTTTTATCGACTGTTCAAACAGAAGATATAGATCTGGTACAAATTCTGGGTAAATCATTCTACTCTGTCTGTATTTCATTTCAGACATTTGTCAAATTGTTGTATAACACCTGCAGGCATCACCAAAATATTCTAATAACCTAAAGACAACATGGACGATGCCATGATTGTACACAACCACCCGCCATATTGGGTGAACATTTATTCCTCTATTCAATATTAAATAATTATGTTTCAGTTCGAAATTACAGATATAAAGTGATAAACATTAGTGTAATTGTGTCTAAATATAGGATTTGTGGAAGATTTAACGCAGATAAGTTCAGTTTTCCATCTTAAAAATGTAGACACACTTTTGATCATTTTCAAAATATGAATCAAATACGAAGCCCGTAGAAATTGGGTAACTAATTTGCACGATAATCACAATAAAATTTGCTGCGCAAGTAATTCAATAGCCCTATATCAAAGTGTAGAAGTTTATCATATACCTGTGTATGAAATTCACAATGGCCGATATGTAAGTAAACAAGATGACTGTAATGTGTTAGTTATATATTCTCCACTTCGTCTATGCAATACATAAGAAATAGTTTGCTTGCAATAAAGTAGAATCACATAACAGAATAGTTGTATAGTTGACAAAAACTGAATCTTGCACTGACGCAAATGTCCTATAACGGCTGCAAGAGGCGTACACTTTTGTTGTATAACTGTTACCTGCAGCCCTTATACAACCTCTTAAATGACTGAAGTGTCCTATTAGGTGTGCCCATTCCGCTTGTATAGCTGTTCTAAGAGGGCTTTGCCAATGTTCTTACAGTATACAGTGCTGTTTAATCATTCTTGCAACTCTAATAGGAGTGATAATCGTTAGTTGAGTACAATAGTCAAGTTGACGTCACCTACACGGACTTCTCGACGGCCTTCGATCTAATAAATCATGATGTATTGCTTGGAAAGGTAATCAAATTTGGTTTTTCTAGTGATGCTAGGGACATTTTTGAATCTTTTTTATCTTCGAGGTGGCAATTTGTTTCTTATAATAATTTTCGTTCTGATACTTACTTAGCCTCATCCGGTGTTCCGCAAGGTTCAAATTTGGGTCTTTTGCTGTTCTTGCTATTCATCAATGATTTATGTGAAGATATGCAGAGTGAACGTTTATGTTTTGCGGATGATTTGAAAATATATTCCGTTATCAATGATTTTAATGATTGACCTTCCTTCAGACTCAATTGGTCATCCTCCAGCACTGATGAGATACCAGTAAGTTATTTCTTAATGTACCCAAATGTAAAATTATGAGTTATTCTAGGAGGAAAACAACCTATCACTTTATTTACCTGGTAAATGGACTTTCTCTGGAACGTTGTACCGAAATTAAGGATTTAGGTGTGATTTTTGATTACAAGTTGACATTTGGTAAACATATTGAAGCATTAGTCTCACATTCTATACAGTTATATGGATTTGTTGCTAGAAACTGTAGACATTTCCATAACATAAGAAACATTAAGCCACTGTATTTTGCTTTTGTGAAGTCTAAACTGGAGTATGCTTGCATAGTTGGGAATCCCTTTTATGAGTGCCAAAAGAGTTGTTTGGAGCAAGTACAGAGAAGATTTTCTAAGTTCTTAGTTTATAAAATTGATGAATGTACCCAGAAAGAGGTGTTACCAATACCGAGTTATACAGTCGTGTTGACCTTATATCTCTGGAGCAGCGTAGGATTTGCGCGTCATTGATATTTTTGTTTAAGCTTTTAAATAATCTAATTGACAGTCCCTCACTTCTTGGAAAGATCAACAGCAGTGTACCGACTTTTGCGTCGCGTACTCACTTCACGTTCAGAGCAACAAGGGCAAGAACAAATATTTCACTGAAGTCGTCGCTAAATAATATGTTTAAAAATTTCAATAGAATCTGTACTTTCTGTGACATATTTTGTACTTCTAACAAAGAATTAGTTAGGATAGCTAATACATACGTACGTCAAGGATATACATGAGATATTTTTGTTTTGTTATATAGTTTGTACTGTATCTTTTGTATGGATTTTGTATAATATTATCCTGTTAATGGGCCACTGTTGGACAATAAAGCTACTATCTATCTATCTATCTATCGAACACGAAGCAATACAAAATATAAATTTTGATGAAGTTATTTCTGAGTTTGCAGCTGTCAAAGCTAGAAAGAAGTGATTTTAAGTGTAAGATAAAAATATTTTTTTGCCTTAGTTTTTATTGTGTTTTATCTGTTCAATATTTTAAATATAAATATTAAATGATCCATGATGCTTATAAATCATATACAATGTATTGCTTCTGACTTTCGTTGGGGTGACACCACCAACTTCCACACCGGGTGCTACCCAAGGTAGCTACGCCACTGAATATGTGCGACTATTATATCTAATAAATAGTATTACCAGGATCACAAGTTTCTTAATCTATTATTGATAATAATAATAGAATTTAGTGCCCCGATTCATCTATCTGTCTTTAGGTAGGAATATTTTGAGGTTGATTGTTGGACCAAGGAGGTTATGGATGATATGGTTTGTGGGCTATATATCAATAAGGGGACTCCCTCGTACACATTTTTGGTTACTGTGAGGTTTGAGGGAATCTTAAGTATACTATGCAGAGGCTTAATCTCCTGGAGCCACAATATATGATGAGTGGGGCCCTGGGTGTCTTGGCCTTTGCTAAAAAAGTCATTCTTGGGAACTAGGGCGGATAGAGTTGCAAAATGTCCTACTAGTTGGTCTATTTATTCATTAGGGATGACTTGCCCTAATCGGAATTTACTCTATGGGCATACGGGGCCCGTCTCCAGGACCCCAATTTGATGGGCGCCCCTCAAATGCCCAAAAATCAAACGATATTTAAATGTTTGTGTACTCCCCACTTTAATTGTCCCCAACTGCGTAGTAGTGTCCCAAGTTGTGCTCTAGCCTAGGGCCCTTCAGCCGCAGACCCGAGGTTCCTGTGGGCCCAGGCACCGCTAAATAGCTTAACACGACCCTGCTCTTACCTGTAGGTTGGTGCATATGAGTGGGACCGTTCTCTTCCTACGTCCTGGTGTTGAATAGTCACGTATGACTGTGAACGTTCTCTGCCAAATCCTTGTTGCTGGAGGGTTACGTATGACTGAGATCGAGCTCGATGAATTTTTCGGAGATCTTCTTTTGATAGCTCTTTGCTTTCCTCTCGAACCGAAGAACTCTGCACAAATATATCTAAGTATCACAATGAGGGTATCCACGAACATGTTATATACTAAGTGACATATAAATCCGAACACCCAGTTTAAATGGTTTTATTTTAATAAAATTTTGTATAAGTACTTAATGAAGCATAATAAGTAAATGATATGGTATCTCATTCCAGGCAACCACCAACTCCTCTCGAAGTGCTTCTAGAGTCTGAGGAGGACGTTGCAAATTGAGCAATCTCCTACCTATCATATCCCACACGTGTTCAATTGGGGATAAGTCGGGAGATCTTGGTGGCCATGGTAACAATGTGACATCATTATGTTGAAAGAAGTCTATTGTGACTCTTGCAACATGTGGTCGGGCATTATCTTGTTGGAAAGTTGGATCTGTCAGGGTGTCAAGATAGGGTAAAAGATGGGGTTCTAGAACTTCGTCGATATAACGCTGCGCGTTTATGTTACCTCTGATGAAGATTAAAGGTGATCTGGAACCATAAGCTATAGCACCCCAAATCATAACTCCAACAGTGTGATGAACATGTCTTTCAACAAAAAACTGTGGATTCCTCCTTTCACCACGTCGCCTTCTAACCCTGGCACGACCATCATGCATGCCTAAACAAAATCGAGACTCGTCACTAAAGACAATACTGTTCCATTCCTGATCCCAGAGTGACCGTTTTCTGCACCACTCAAGGCGATTACGTCGGTGTTCTCGAGTTAAAGGGAGGACCCATTGTGGCCGGTATGAAAACAAGCCAAAACTTCTCATTCGTCGGTAAACACTTCGCATGCCAATAGGTCTTCCGTGTTCTGCAAACCATTCATTTGCAATGGACCTGGTAGTGGAGAAACGGTCCCTTAAGGCCAATAATCTTAGGCGGCGATCTTCACGGTCTGTTGTTCTACGGCGGCGTCCAGTGCCCCTTGCTCTTTGCGTACGGCCTTCTCGAAGCCATGCCTGACAACACCTAACCACAGTGTCTACACTTCTTTGCACTGCAACTGCAATTGCCCGAAAATAAAGTCCAGCTTCCCGAAGTCCCACTATACGGCCCCTATCAAACTCACTAAGTTGACGAAATCGTACAGGTCTCCGTACTCTAGGCATCGTAACCGATCGTAAAGGATGTCAAGAACCAAAATCCGCCAACGTTGATTCTTTACTGCGGCTGAAATATTCATTTTTAGAGCGTTAGTGAATTAAAAAAAAGCAGTATAAAAACAGGAATGTCCAACTGATAAGGCTGAAAATTATTTCACTTGTTATTTACAGTAAGATAAATACATCCACCAAATTTCATTAAAATAAAACCATTTAAACTGGGTGTTCGGATTTATATGTCACTTAGTATAAATCTACCATAACCCTAAAGTTAAGAGTTCTGGGTTGTACTCCAATATGCGGCCAATAAATGTTCTGCCAGATGTTGAACAAGTTTTTGAAGAAACTATTTAAGAACAGATCATCAAATTTATTGAGGGAAACAACATTTTAACCAAATTTCAAGCTGGATTCAGGAAGAAACACTCAACTGAAGCGGCAACACAAATGGTTTTAGAGGACTGGAGGAGATGTATGGACAATAGGAAACATACAGTAACAGTGTTTTTGGACTTCAAAAGGGCGATTGAGACTATTGACAGGCATAAATTACTTACAAAATTGCACCATTATGAATTTAAAGGATCAGTATTCAAAATTCTACAAAACTATTTAATTGACAGAAGTCAAAAGGCCAAAATTGGATCTACATTATCAAGGTCAAAAAATATTTCTGTTGGTATATCACAAGGTAGTAAACTAGGTCCACTACTATTTATTTTGTACATTAATGACATTTGTAGTATTTTAGATTATTGTAAACTTCAGATATTTGCAGATGATACATTAATATACATATCAGATGAAAATATAGACACTGCTTTAGAAATGCTAAATTCTGACTTGGCAAAAATCGTAAATTGGTTAAATGTAAATAAACTAAAATTGAATACTTCTAAAACAAAATGTATGCTAATAGGGAAATACCTAAATGAAAATAGTATCACAGGATAAATGGAGAAATGATTGAGAATGTTGAATCAATTAAATATTCAGGTATATATATTGATAGTAAACTAAAGTTTGAGGATCACTATGAATAATTCCAAAAAATCCCAAAAAACAAATTACTCTTATAGGGCTTCTCATAGTCTTGCTACCTATTCCAAGAAAATAGTGTATAATACAATCATTCTACCGCATTTACTATATTGTTCAACTATCTTGTCAACTGCCAATGAACCTGTATTCTCAAAATTACAAGTCCTTCAAAATAAAGCTATGAGAATAATATTGAGTAAAAATAAGTACACCAAAATAAAATCTATGTTACAAGAATTGCAGTGGTTGAATACAAAAAATTTCATATCATATATGGTTTTTATTTTTATATTTAAAATAAAAAATCATATTTAACCAGAACATTTAGAGCACTACATAGAATTGAATAATCATTACCACAATTATTATACAAGAGGAAATATAGATTTTCATTTACAAAATTGCAATAGCAATATAACTAGAAAATCAATATTTCAGAAAGGATTACTTGAATTTAATAAGCTAAATAATGATATAACGTCTACTTGTAATTTAAAGATATTTAAAAGAAAATTAAAGGAATATTTCATGGACAATAAACATTCTTAGAGATTCAAATTTTCTTTTTTTTTTCTAAATATGTGTATGTTATGTAATTGTTTAGTTTTTTTAGAAGAATGTAATTGTAGCAATCATGTTAAATAAATCTTAAACGAACAAACAAAAGTTTCATAGTACTTCCGGAGAGAGACAGGAAAAACGAATTTTACCACAATCGTTTTAATTTATTTCTGATTTATTTATAGTGGGATACTGAAATTGATTGCGAATTTTTCTTTTCAACAATCTGGCGTAATTAGAATTTCAATAACATGAAGTTTCGTCTCTTGTCCTACAGCATCAAATTTATTTTTGCCATATTGAATTTCTGCCTAGATAAATAGAGTTTTTGATTTTGATTCCAAAAATGTACAATATGTCATACATTGACAACTGCCTCCCAATTATCAGACAGTCGTTTGTTTCGTATGCAGGACCAGACCTCAAATTGAACATAGTAACAGAGTTTGGAAGACTGAGAAGAAGGAAAATAAATCGAGCAGTGAGCAATGTACAGAGAAGTCAGGCCTTGCCTACAAAATAAGACAAAAATATTTTAAAAATCTGCTATTATTTACTTCTGATTATTTATGTTATTGTTATTACCGTCAATACAGTTTTCATTTTGTGTTCAGCTTTTAAAGTACCTTTTCATTCAACAACAAATTCATGGCCAACTAAGGAAATACATAACTGAATTTAGGTCTGAAAAGTCCATTTAAATTTACAAAACTCCAATATAACGTCCCTATGAAAAACAAAGTTGGTTATGGAAGTTGAAAAAAGAAACCTCGACTTGATTACGCCATCGTATAGAGGAGTAATAATGACAACATGCAATTTATTTTAAATTCCCATTTTAAATAAAAATTAAAATATGATATGATGAATTTCAACACCTATCTAGGAAATTCTGCTTTTTTGAAATAACTAGTGTTTCTCAATGTCAATGCATGACGAGTAATATATTTTTAAAATCAGAATTAAAAACTCTATTCATATGTGTAAATATCCAATATGGCGACCATAATAAAAATTAAAGATGATGCTGGAGGACAAGATACGAAACGTCATAGTGAAATTCTAATTGTGCCAACTTATAGAAGAAATAAAGTGGCTATGTCAATGTGCAATTTATTTTGAAATCCCACTACAAATAAAGTCAGGAAAAGAATAAAAGGATTTTTGGAAAGCTCGATTTTTTCCGTCACTCTCCGGTAGCACTTTGAATCTCGGAACTTTCTAAGCGGCATTTTCATAAATACCTGAATACGCAAATTTGCCCGGTGTCAAGCGACTGTGTATCTCTTATAGTTTCCGAGATCCCAATGGTGAGGGTCGAATTTGAAACACGCGGTATATGCCACAGGTGCATGTTGCATGATTACTCACCTGTCGGGACAGTACCGGCTCTGAATTGAAGGAACCTTCCATATTATAAATATTATCCAATTCACGATCATTACGGATAAGAACATTTTCCAGAATGTCTGTAATTTTCTTGCAACACTTCAAAGTTTCACGTATTTCTTCCAGAGATAATGTGACATACTCCTCATTTCCTTTGTCCAATGATTCTACTCTATGTGGGCTGCCAGCACTTTTCTTATCCAGACCGTCGTCATGCTGTAAATTGAGTCAGTTTGAAAAACGCCTAAATATCACTCTTATCATTCCATCACTACTGTGAACTGGGTCTTATTTTCTTACCTAACCCGGTTGCCTCAGAATAGTTTTGTCCGTGGTTAACTTCAAACGATGACAAAAATATCCGATCAATACTTACATTTCTTTCTTCCTTATTTTCGAAAGTACTCGACAGATATTCGGTCCTCCCGCTGTTGTAGTTCAACCAAAAATTGTTCCATTCTCCAACTCTACTGTCAATATCTGGTACTTCGGTGACCCTAGTTGCTCCTTTTCCAAAATACTCTTCTTGTACACTTTCAATCCAAGAGAGATAGTTTGTTGCTGGGCTGGGAATCCTCAAATTTTCGTTGAGCTAGTTGCAGAGCAAAAAAAAATAAAGAAATGCGTCAGGTGTGTTTTGGTGGTCTTAAACTTGGGACTGTTATATATTAGGAAGAAAAAATCAGGGATATCAGATCCGGCACTGCTTTCAGCAAAGAATTAGGTAAAAAGAAATGACGTGCGTCAATATGTAACCCAGGCACTGCGTTCCATGTAGGTAAACAAAGGTATTTGCTTATAAATCTGATTTGGAGAAATCTAAAATGGAACACACCTATAACAGAAATAACAGACTTGTCGATTTAATATTAGTTTACGATGTGTGTCTTCAAGATGCTCATGGTGATCCGCGAGCGTATTCAGATCGGTTCATGGACTTTCCATCCCGCGCCCCATAAATTGGTTTATTCGTAAAAAGCTTGAGGTGGACTCACGATAAAACCTAGAAAGCTCCTATTGTTGCACATTAAGGATGAATTCAATAAACTTGTGCTTTGGCGACAACTTTCAACAGTATTTATATGCACTTTAAATTTTTATCAAACGAACAGTTTTTTAGCTGCAGTTTCACCACACATTAACTTTGTTATTGTAAACGCTGCTTACTCAGAAAAAAATCTGCTTTTTTCATTTATACATTTTTACCGCTTTGCCAGTCTTCCTTCAAAAAAAAAAAAGAAAAAACAATACTGTAGCAGTTATGTGAATGATATCTTTACACTATTTCGTGAATCTTTTTGATAATGTTCCGAACAATATGAACATGTTTACTTGATATTCAGTGATTTTTCTGTGTTGGTTGTAAAAGAATGCTCAAAAATAAGGTACTTCTTGTCGGTGTTGCATTTTCTATGTCATTTAGTATTATTAGTTTTTCTGCAGTATGTATACCTGAAGATCTCACATAATTGCGTCGAAACAACGTGTAAAAGATACACGAATTAATTGACCGAACCCCAACATTGCCCCGTATTTAAAATTGGAATCGACGATCAGGGATAAACACAAATGTGCCTGAGAAGAAAAGTTCTAATTTTCAGAACACCTTCCCATTGCCCTCTTTTTCATTACTTTTTTTCTTCACTTTCTCAGGTATCTGGACGACCAGACCTGACAGATCAACTGACCTATACCTAAGGCTGTAACTAAGAGCCGCTGTGACAGACAATGTCAGATAGGAGGAGAATGCCGTAGCATATTATTTATTTGATACACAGCAGACCAATTTTCGGTATGATCTAAAAAAATAAATAGATCGAGTGAGTCAAAGAGGCCTATACAATTAGTCCATAGTCCCCAGATATTTAATAACAATCCCTTGCCCTACTGAAAGTATATGGCAACGAAGCTGAACCATACCAGTCAACCACGCCATTAGCGCTTTCCATGATAATATAACTCGAGATTGAGAGTGCCAGCGATGTAGTCAGGCGCAGACAAGGCTTAGCCATGGATGTTGCCGTACGACCGCGACCAACATACGACGCGCCTGTAAATAATCATCTAATTTTATGGACAAAAGTACGGTGATTTCTAGGATGTGTGAAATATGCACTAATAGGTATGCAGAATGCAAAAAATGAGATAAACCATCCACCAAGCACCTGCCATCCCCAACCCTCTATTTTAACTGCTACATTTTTTTTGGAAAATGATTAGAAGCCTTAAAAATGTCAAAAGTTTTAGTTATTTTTATTTTGCCCTTGGCTCCGCCGTTACTGCAGCGATTTTCAAATATCACAAAGCTTCTTCGTCCTCGCCGTAGCAATAACCTTCCGTCTCCGTGCTGTACTTTCTAAGTTATAGACGGGTCAAGGATTAGCAGACATAAACAGACAGTCAATTCGACAGAAATGAGCATGATTATTCGTCATATACCTAAATGCGATATACTCGTAACATCCAGTGGCGTATTTAGGGGAAGCGGCGCGGGGGGCGCGCGCCCCTTCCTAGACGTCTGACACTTGCTTTTGTAATCTAACACAATTGTGATACTTTCTGACACATCATGGCGACAGAGGCATATTAACTATAAGTTATAGCGATAGAAACTGAGCATTGCAATTTTTTGGTATCCTTTGGAATTCCAAACGCTGTTCCTCTTTGACATCATTTACGTTTACAGCACAATTCTTACGATTTATACGTATATACGAATATTGTGACTTGTGACAAATCTAATTCTGAATAATACATGTATATAAGCTATACAAATTGCACTTAAAAAGTGATTTATATTCTGTTTATTGCTCAATAGTAATTTCAAAGGTGTGTAAAGCTTGACTGATTTTGTTCGGGGCTGGTGTTGCAGCAAAGCACTATGTTAGATGAAGATCTAAATTGGAAATAGATATTTATGAGATTTGTTTAGCGATGCGTCCAGAAAATGCGTCGATCGATGCTCATTTTCAATACCACACCTCCTGCATCTCTTCCTGCGTATGAGATTTTGTATTTATGTTGCTATATTGGATTCGTTTGAATTACAGAGCTTCTGCAAGTACACGTGAATATGTACAGCCATGTATTTCTGTACTTTCGTTTCGTACAGACATACATTATCGAAATAATTACGATATAACAAATACAGTCTTTTCCAAAGATTTACAACATTTTTACATGGTGTAACTGTAATATCTATATTGAATTTAAAAAAATAATTGACTATACCTATTGATATTTTTATCACCTGCTAATATAATAGAAGTACTTGATTGTGTCAGTATTTGCACCAATTACTTGATTTGTTTCATGGGCAGTTTAGAGTCTTAATCCTCAAGCGTAGTACACACTAGTAGACCTCGCTGCGCAATTTGTCTATGGGCAGTTTGGATACGATCTAAAGACACGATTTTTCGGTCTCATGTTCGTTTTCGTCATCAAAGACATTGTTTTGTGTGGAATGGACTGGGATATGTCTCGCCTCTAGACGTCGGGTCTATTTTATACAATATCGAATTTTTGGTGTACATTTTCATTAGCTGGTTTTAACATTATATTTCTGATTTTAAATATTTTTGCATACACCTTTAAGACTTTTAGACAAACCTTGTACAGATCTTATATAGAGTGTACTGCTTGTGGTTGGTAGCTGTCTTAGAGGTATAGGTAGAGTGCAAAGATTTTAAAATTTTGCGATGTAGCAAATTGTTGAGGATGTTCATTACTGCAAAGTATGTTTTCGGATAAGTTCTTCTCTATGAAAGATTTGTTGATTCGATGATAATTGTCAAATAAACGATTTACGACACCCCTTTTTTATACTCGTTGCGTATTTTGTATTGTAGATTCATCAGTGATACGAACACAGGATAAGTTTCATGTTGTGTAATACGAGAGCCGCGCAATATATTTTGAGGTACACGAAAACTAAAAAACTATTTTTCGAAAACTAGTTTATTCACGTTCAAAGTATTCTCCTCCAGCATCAATGAACTTCTGTAGTCTGACCTACCACAAATTGAATACTTCTAACCAGTACGTCTACAATGTCGGAATGTGTGAAAATATAGACGTGCGACTTTTAGTCTTACAACAGACCCGTAGGCGGGGCTTGGTTTATGGACATGTCTACATACACATCCTGAGACATGTTTCAGAAGGCAAAATCGCACAACATGTCTACTAGTGTGAACTAGTCTTTACTATTGCTTGGCAACGTTATGCCAGACAGCAGTAATACAGTAGTGGGGGTAGACGGTAGACCGTTTGGTCTAGGCGCTAAGGGTCCTAGACTGGGGAAATTCAAATTCAGTATTTCAGTTGTTCGCGGATGGCGTTACGGAGCATGTTTTATTTTTTTTGCTCACAGAGCAATGAAGTTTTTTATGTTTTAATCTTTAATATTATTACACTAGTTAATTATAAGTGCCACGTAGTTATTTTGTTCTCATATAATAAAATATTGCCTTTCTGAGGATTTAAAGCATTTTCCATGTTTTTTTTTTCAAGCTGGCATTAACCAGATAGAACGCAATGGCAACAATAGGATACATTCTAGAAGTTCCACTGAGGCTGAAAAATTGCCAGCCCCCCTAGATAACATCCAACTGTATTTCATTTTCGAAATTTTTCGCGATTACAATACTTCCTCGCCAGTGGCGGGGGAAGTGAAAACGTGTAATTTTCAGGCGGTTGTGGTGCAATGCATTAAGTATGTTGTATGGCAGATGATTCTTTGAAAAATCCTACCTTTAGCTCTTCAACCGTGAGGTAACTCGCCTGCCTAGTCTTACTCTCATCTTTTCCTTCTCCACTACTGCTAAATTGACTGTCCGCACTTCCTTGCCTGTCAAGTAGATAGCTGGATGGGATACTGCTCCTGCTCAGAGTCCCATCCGAAGGTATGCTACCTCTCTCCGATATCCCACTAGAAGGCAGGCTACCCCTGGCGGAACTACGGCTACTCCTGGACCTGCTTGATGACGGAATACTACCTCGAGGAGTGCCATTGGTTCCTCCACTGGACGTTAGGCTGTCTCTATACTCAAATGAATACCTATAGTAACTTATATGGAAGATACTGGTTAGACAGTACTTTGCATATTTCGACTCTATTACTAAGTTCAGACGCCATTTGTGCTGGTACGGGTGTATTGAGCCAAAGCGCCAAGTTATGTTTGATATCTCTTGAAGGTTATAAGGATATCACAATGTCAGAATGCTGAAGTTTGAAGGTCTACGTTGGAGTCATAAATAGTCTAGCATTTTTTGTCCGTAAATAACACACCTGGTTTTACTGTGCCATTCGCCAAGGCTAATGCGAATGAAACTCAATACATGTGTAGGTAATTTAGAGCGCTGAGTTCAAATGATCTCCAAAAAAATAGAAAACGTGAAGTGTTGCGGAGCCGAAGAAAATTGGTGGTTTGGGAGCCCTCGTGGATCTAACGGCAAATTAACGTCGAATTCGTAATCTACGCATCTTACGCACCCAATTTACCCAGGGAAACGAGATTTACAGATATTACAGGTATTCCTATAACCTACGCAGACGACGACCCCGGAAGTGATTTTTTGTAGAGACTGCATCTACGAGATTTTTCAAAATGATCTTGTAGAAGACGTGAAGATATTAAAGGGTAAAATTCCCATTTTTGATAGCCTTAGTACAACTGGTGTCGTATGGTCGGGTTTGAGGTTGTTTCAGACCTCGAAAACCTTATTGGCGTCGAATTCAAAATCTACGCACCACCAGATTTACCCAGGAAATGATTTATTGTGGAGATCGCAGATACGCAGGAGTTTTAGAAATTAATCCATAAATATACGACTTTATGGGTCAAAATTTCCATCAGTTGTTATTACAAGTGGATGTACGAGGTCTGGCAACACTGGAGGTGCCGGGCTTGGGGGAGAGATAGGGGAACATGTGATCCGCCTTCAGTACAAGTTTGAACTCGCTCGAGTCATTTGGTGGGCCGTCGAGATTTTTTTGTGAAACAGTTTTTTATATTGTGTTCTAAAATCGAGTGACATCAATTTCGATCAACGGTGTGCTATGAGGTTTTGCACAGTGCAGCAGAAACTCTTGTCAAGCAGGCCTGCGGAGATAGTGTATTGTCAAGAGCCCAGCGTTTTCGAGGGCTTAAGGCATTTTCAGAAGGGAGACGGTCGATTGAGATGAACGACGAAACGAAAGGGCTTCATGTTCAAGAACCGATGAAAATATCGATAGAATCCGGAGTCTTGTGCATTAAAGCCCGTATCGTCAGTCGTCTCTACAATTGTAGGGCGCCTTTATGGCCTCCTTGATTGTCATAGTTTTCTACTTCTCCATGTCAGAACTCTATTTTGAGGTTATGTCACAAACATCTATTTGCATTAAATTGTGCTTGCTTTTGAGTTATATCATGTTTTATCAGCCTGAAATTTCCTACAGTTTAAAAAGAAAACATATCTTCACAATAGGAGAGCGCTGACGCTGACACGGGACAAGTGTAATCTAGAAATTTTTGAAGGAAAGAAAGGACAATATTATTATATATTGATGTCGAATTTCGAACCTATGCTCTCGATTTACTGAACGAACAAATACTTAAATAATGCAAGGCATTGAGTATAATCATCAAGAAATGGTGAAGCGTCGTGAGGCTGAATTCAGGTTAAAAAAATTGAGATCTGATTCGAAATTATGAGAGTTCACCCAAACACACAATGGCGCCTAAACTAACCGTTTTATAGGTAGCCTTTCCACATACCTAGGTTCGTCAGTTGGTGGACTAGGAATTGTCTTAGAGCTATTTTCTCTCGTATCTGTGTTAGAATTTGAACTCAAAGTTGCATAATCCAGTTGCTCCGGAGATAATGATTCTAAAGACGAGCTGATGTCTTGACTCGTATTATTCGTGCCATAGTATGGGATGAATGTGTGTTTGGCTTTGTATTCTGATATAGACTCTAAGCTGTGCCTGGAAATAAGAGTAGGATAGAATTAACAGATGAATATAGGAGGTTTGTCCGGAAAATACGTATAAAACATTCGGGGCGTTGTGGAAGGGTGGCTCGGTGGTTCCCTCTCTCTATGCAATCCCGTCTATGCTCAGATCCAGCCGGAGTGCTTTGTGAGTAAGTAGGATTTACGTATGTTTGTTGAGAGTAAGTTTCTTGCAAAGCTAGGCAAGAATGGTCGTGGGATTTTTGAGTGCTTGGAATAAGTTGACGGAGACAATTCTCTGGAGGAACCAACAATGTTGTTTTCTTTGATTCTCGGGGCATTGTGAGCCAGGAGTTTGTCCCTTCCGGCCAGACAGTGAACGGACATTTCTACATTGAAGTTTTGCGTCGCGCGTCGTCTCAGAGCTCGACCAGATTTGGCACAAGGGGGCAGGTGGATTCTTCATCACGACAATGCGTCTGCTCACACGTCTCTCGTTGTGCGTGAGTTTCGGGCCCGAAGCTCAATCACCGTGACATAACACCCGATTTAGACCCTTGCGACTTCTTCCTGTTATCAAAATGAAAAATGCTGCTTTGGGCGCGGCACTTGTGGGATGTAGAAGATGTAGAAGCAGAAGCGATACGGCAAATGAAGAGACTCACAATTGAAGACTTTTAGCGATTGTATCAACAGTTGGCAGAAGTGCATTTTGTATCAGGGGGAGTAATTTGAAGGGGACCATATTGAAATACCTGAACAATTGTAAAATAAAGTTATGACTCCACTTTTATACGTATTATCCGGACAAACCTCGTACAGAAGTTTTTATACCAAAAAGTCCTTGAGTGATATCTAGAGTGATTTGGGGATGCAGACAAGAATTAACGAACTGGGTGAACACAACAAGATAATCTTTGACATAGTGGTAACATTTTGGGAAATTTGATCAGAATCCGAGCAAGGTAGACACAAATGAGTGACATGGGGTTTCATAATGTTATGTTACATTCAAGAAGCATATTGTCTTATTGTGTATATGATTACAATACTAAGTATTAAAAAAATCGCGTGAAAAGGGTACGTGTTCCGATATATTTCAATTCCCCTTTAATGTCGGTTCATCGACCAGAAAAATATCATGTGATGTGAAATTTGAACATACAGTTCTGATCAGTGGGCTAGATATTGTCGTTAGCGGCCAAAGCAAAGCTGCGGATCTGCCCGATATAATCCGCTCATGTATGGCACACTAAGGACTGAACTTGTTCGATCTAGATATGGGATCGAATAGTGATTGTTGTACAAGTTTTACAATAAAACACCGGAGAAGGCAGAACGAGAACGCGTTCCACTTTTATTGGAAAAGCATCATTACACCCAATCATTATTAAAGTCAATCTAACGATCTATCAAATAAATATCGATCGCGCTACGACTTGTTCAGTGTTTTATTGTAAAACTTCCATAACAAATTGTACTATTCGATCGCAAAAGAGTTTCGCCAAGTAAGGATACATATGAGGTCTGTAAATTAAGTCACGAGACTGGGAACGTAGAGTTTGATCTGGCAACACTGGAGGCGCCGGGCTTAGAGGGGAGACAGGGGAACATGTGATCCGCCTTCTGAGCAAGTTTGAACTCTGTCGAGTCACTTGGTTGTCCGTATCGATTTTTTTTTCTGAAACAGTTTCTCCTATTGTGTTCTAAAAATGAGTGAGATTAATTTCGAGCAACGGTCTGTTATCAGGTTGTGCTTCAGACTTGGGCACAGTGCAATGGAAACTCTTGCTAAGCTTCAGCAAGCCTACGGAGATAGTGTTTTGTCAAGAGCCCATGTTTTTCGGTGGTTTAAGGCATTATCAGAAGGGAGAGATTTTATTGAAGATGAACCATGAAGAGGAAGGCCTTCATGAACGAGAACCGATGAAAACATCGGCAGCATCCGGAATCTAGTGCGTTTAGATCGACGGTTGACAGTCAGAATGATCAGCGAAGAGTTAACTCACACCACCGTTCATCAGATCAAGAACAACTGGGAGTTGCATCATGAGTAAAAACATTCTTGTGGCTCCTCAGCCTTCTTACTCATCTGACTTGATCCTTGTGACTTTTTACTCTTTCCGAAGTTAAAAAATCACCTCAAGGGAACTCATTTTGGGTCAGGCGAAAACATTCATCCGGCTGTAACCGACCAGCTGAAGGCTATTTCAGTATCAGGCTTCCAGAACTGCTATGAGGAGTGGAAGACCCGTCTCCAGCGCTCTGTGGCTTCAGAAGAAAGTTATTTTGAGGGTGAAAATATAAAATTGTAATTATATTCGAATAAAAAAATTAAAAAACTCAATCTCATCACTCAATTTACAGACCTTGTACCTACTATCTTTACGATCCAGATATACGGATTATTCGCTCGTCTATGGATCTTTACACTGGTTTATTAAACATATAAAGTAAACTTATCAGAAATCAACAGTGCTTTCGTTCATCTAACAAACCGTTTATGGTGTTTCATCCTTATTGAGAATAATCAGCACGGTCCAAGTAGGACGACGAATAAAGACTGAACAACTGAAGCTTCTACTGCAGGTATGAAGATGATTTCTGTCTTACCTAAAGCAGCTATCCAATGACTTCCTATATCTGTTCCCCATCATAATCTCCGGACTGCTATATCTTTCACCCCTGTTGTGCATCACAATTTCGTCTGTTCCGTTCGTCACCAGTTTGGGCAGCTTCTCATCCTTTTCCTTCTTGTCATTGCTACCTGCTCTCCTGACTGTCCCGCTTCTGAATAAATTGTGTTCTTGCTCAAAGTGTTCTTGGAAGAACGGTTGTTGGTTTGGCGAGCTGCCCGATGAGCCGGATTGAGAATTCGAATGGGACATCTTCAAAGATCTCTTCAACGATCGCGATGATGATTGTTATGACACTTTTTGTCGGAACCAACCAACAAATTCACTAGGTAGAAGGAGAAAGCCTACAATTTGTTTGCCTCCAAAATCTCAGTCTGTAGTAAGGATGAAAATGGACTAAGCATAAGTTAGTAGGGGTATCGTGTAACAGTTTACTTGAAAGGTCTTTTGAAGTCCTTTATTTTGACGTTTGATTTTTAAAAGTCAGTCGAATCGTTTTCGAGAAAATTAGAAAGACCTCTATTTATCTTAATTTGTTTAGATAGAAAACAAAAACACAAAAATATTACTTTTTATTCGTATAAGAGGGGTTTGCCAAATCTACAATTCGTTTATAATTTAAAACGAAAATTACCAACATAAACAGCAATTCGGAAGAATAACAACCCGAATTTTTCCCGCATTCTTGTCATCAACACAGACATCCTAGGCGAACTGGATTTATTGTTATACCTGTTTAGTCATTTGTTGCTAAGAGAAAGAAAGAATTTACTTTGCTGTCTGTTACCTTTGTGACAATCTTCGGATATGAAAATTAATTTATTACTTCCAAAATGGTTTACACACTAGCCGAAAGAGTGGAAATGATTCTAATGTATGGTGCCCAAAATAAATCTCGGTTAACTGCCGTCACATTTAACGCCAGACATCTGGGGTTAACTTTGCATAGGTATGTTTTGGACTTTGTTACTAAATTTACTCAAACTGGATCTGCTGCAAATAAAAAACGTGATCATCGATGAGTGTTAGATGAAGCCGCTAAAGTTAAAGTTTTGGGTCATTTTGGAATAAATCCTAATACTTCATTACGCAAAATTGTTGCTGCGACTGATATTTCAAGAGGCTCTGTACACACAGTTACTGAACTCCATAAATTTCATCCATTCAAAATAAAGGAATTAACCGAACATGATTTCGATAGGCGGGTTCAGTTTTGTGGACAAATGACTGCAGCGATTAATGATAATACCATTCATGTAAAGGATATCTGCTACAGTGATGAATGCACATTTTATCTAAATGGATTTGTTAATAAGCATAACTGCAGGTATTAGAGCAATGAAAATCCTCATGCTTTTGTAGAAGGGCATACCCAGTACCCCCAAAAAATTGATGTATGGGAAGGCATTTTAGGAAGCAAAGTGATTGGGCCATTGTTTATTTTGGGAATTTGAATGGAAACATTTATTTGGATATATTGGAAAATACCATCAATTCGCTTATTACGAGGGATGTCTTTTAAGTTTGCATATGGAAATAAAACAACATGGTAGGTAGCTTTAAATGACTTTATTGTTTATTCTCCACGAAGATTAATACATATCTGCATGCGCTCGAACCAATTTTCGAAGCACTTATTCCACTCGTTTGCTGGCAGATCCAACACGGCATTTTTCAATGCGTCAACTGCTTCTTCTGGTGACTGGAACCTTTGATCACGCAGTCTGTTTTTAATTTTCGGGAAAGTAAAGAAATCGTTAGGACCTATATCGGACTATATGGAGGATGGTCCAATAATTCCACGTTTTCTTCCATTAAATACTGTTTTGTTTTTTCGGCTGTGTGCGAACTTGCATTGTCTTGGTGGAGGATGATTCTTCTTTCGGGGATGATTTTTCGAAGCTCGGTGATGACTTTTGGCAAATAAATGGTGGTATACCAATCCGCAGTAACAGTTCTTTGCTCATTAAGAGGAATTGTTGCAATATGACCCGCTTTTGATATAAATGTCGCGACCATCTTTTTCGAAACACTTCGAGAACGGATGACTTTTGTTGGCTTTTCTTCACCTTGGAACACCCAAACAGTCGACTGTCGTTGATTTTCTGGTTCATAACAGTAAATCCACGATTCATCACCACTAACAATGCTGTACACATTTTTTGAGTTTCCGGAATTGAAACGGTCGGTTTTTTGACACCAATTAACACTGGCTGCTTTCTGCTCTTCAGTCAACAGGCGGGGTATCCAACGAGAAACTAATTTTCTTACTCCTAATTCTTCATGTAAAATTTTTTGAATCCAGGTCTTTGAGATCTTCAAGGACGCCTCAATCTCGCGATATGTCACATGTCTATCTTCAATGATGAGTTTGCGCACAGCATCGACGTTTTCCTGGGTGACTGCCGTTTTTGGTGCACCCACCCTGGGATCGTCGCTAAGACTCACCCGTCCACGTTTGAGTTCTTCATACCAACGGGAAATTGTCGACTGATGTGGCGCTTCATTGCCGAAAACAGACAGTAACTCCGCAAGGCATTCTTGTTGCGATAATTGTCTCTGAAAGTTATACTAAATTATGGCGCGAAAATGTTCTCGGTTGAGTTCCATTTTTCTACTGACTTGGTGACACTTAAAAATTCACTGTAGTGAGAACACTGCAGGTATTGTTGTGAAACTTTGAATTTAAGTTTACTAAGGAGTAAGGTTAAGATTCAGTACTGACGTTCGATCGGCGCGGCGTACTATGTTTCTATATGCAAAACTTAAAAGACATCCCTCGTACTGAAACCATTGAACCAAATTGAAGAGGATGGAAACCCTATACTTGATGAGGCTGAAATATATTTCCTCCTCACTATGTTCTTCCGGTTCTGCAATGGCTGGACGACGGGTTTCCAGATAAATGGATAGGGCGAAGAGAGCCTATAGAATGGCCTGCTGGATCTCCTGATTTGACGCCATTAGACTTTTTTCTATGGGGCCATATGAAATCACAACAGGTTTTTGAAAATGTCCGTTAGGAATTTTAACATCGTCTATATTATTGTTTGGCCAATAACAGGCAACATTTTGAACGCTTATTGAAATAAAAAGAGATATTCTGTTTACTATCTGAACAAATTAAGATAAAAAGTATTTTTCTAATTTTCTTGCAAACGAATCGACCGATTTAAAAAATTCAAACGTAATAATAAAGGACCACGAAAGACCTTTCGGACAAGCAAAAACTCGATACCCCTTGTCTCTTAAAATTTTTAAGGGGTGACCCTGGAGGATAGGGGGTGTAAGCGGCTGAAGTGAGTTGTTGATTAAAAAGTTGTCCCCCTTGACAAATCTTTTAATCAGTGGTTTTCGATAAATCCGTGGTAGGAAATTTTCAAATGAACACCCTGTATACAGTTATTAACAATTCTCGATTAATTCGTGTTTTTGAAAGATGGGTAATAGGAGAGTTGTCTTCATCAATCAAATAACAATGGAGGAATTCTAATAGTGGCACTACTTGTTTGAAATCTACGCGGCTGTGATCCGACGATTCTTGGCTAAGAGAAAATATCTAGTTGAGCCTAATATGTAAATTACTGATGTTATATCATTGTCATTACTTTGATAAAAATATATGGAGGTTATCTAATCAATTTGATATTCACAGAGTTTTTGGGACGTGCTGAGCTTCTTCACCAAAGTCTCTTAGCATTAAAATGAGAAAACGTAATACTCTCAATAATATAATATGTATTACTATTCATACAGTGCTTTTCTTTAATGTCCTCCACCCCTTTGATTTTATAAAGTACTCGTCAGGAGCTTCAAAATGATATGCCACAAGACCCCCGATTTCATATATTTTTTTTCCAAGATGGCGCCCGGCGGCCATCTTGACATTTTCATCTGTCAATTATACTCCAAAATATGGTATCCACGCATCAATTTCATTACCTCAAGTTTTAATTTTTTGAATTGATCCGTTCAAAGGCATTAAAGAAAAGCACTGTATATGTATTCAAAGTTAAGGTAGATAAGACTAAGTTTTGGTTGACACTCTTCAGCATCTATTAGAAATTGTGATTCTTAATTCGTTGATCAAAATCATAAATGGTATATGTTTTCAATAGTCTGAGGTCACAGTTATTTTATAAAAGTTAATATTGCAAAGAATATCCCCACCCTGAAACGCCTCACACATCTGATCATACATGATGCACGGTTATTTTGAAATAGTCCGATGTACCAAATATCACGAAAAGTTCATTATACAGGGTTTTACGTACTGAAAAACCGTAATTGCAATGGCGCTTTTCTGAAACAAATTTAAGTAGAAATGTTCATATAAGCATGTATTCTGAAAAGTCTGGTTTTCAAGACAGCAAGAAAGCTTAAAAAATAGTTATCCCAAAGATTCTTGTCCTTATTTTGCTGAATTTTGACAGTGTTGTTCATTCCAAGACGATGCTAAGTTAGCACTAACTGGAAGATAACTATGAATCCAAGTGGCGTCTCGAGGGGGTAGTCTCACGAGTAATACGGACTTAAAAATTTTCGCCACTGTATTTAAAAAAATTTATATCGTCGTTGTTTTGACGAAACCTCCTATGTGTTTAGAAGCAGTTTTTACAGAATGACATAAACTCTTTTAAATTTAAAAAATTGGTTTCGCGTTCATTCACACGGATTTTAATCAAATCTCTACAGATTTTTTAGAGCTTCTTATTATGAAACTCTTGTACATCAGATTACGGAGCTCATATTTGACTATACAGATATTCTGAAAGCTTCGATGTGAAATAATTGTTACTTAGGAGGTTTCAACATAACAATGACGATATATACTTTTCGAATTAAGCAGCTGATGGTACAACTTTTTTGTTTTTTGGTATATCCATACACCGTTTTCGATGAAAAAATGAAATCAATCTCGTTACAGGTCGAAAAATTGTTAAAATAGATGCGAATCAACTCTGATCCTTACTAAAAAAAAATTATTCTGTCGCTTTTCAATAGATTACGTACAAAAATAGCGTGACAGTAGATTATCTATTTGGAGAAAAAATAAAAGCTTTTAGGATATTGTAGATATTCCACCGTATAGGATATATCTTTGAGCACTTTGTGAAACTTGGGGATATTGAATCATTAACTTGAGCTTATTCCTTGAAATGCCAAATGTGATGTTTGAAATCTAATAGAAAAAAGTGAAGGAGCAGAGTTTAACGTCTATCTGAAAATGGTGGATGTGCTACATTATTCGCGTATCTAAAAGTGGACAATATGTCTAAACGACTGCGGTTACCGTTAGTTATATCGTCGGTCTCCGTACGTACAGGCGTAAATGACAAATAATCTAAAATCGAGTTACGCCGTAATTTCACAGATTTTTTTGTAGTCTCTTACTTCACGAAGTGACGTAGCTATATATCAGTTCGCTGCTGAGAATTAAAATTTTCAGAAAATTGCCTAAGTTATAAAATT